CTTCAACCTTAGTTAAACTCCTTTATTATGGATTACTTTTACTTTGTTTTACATTACATGTCTGTAGATTTACGGATAGCATGACTCCATAGCTTCTAGATATGTCCCCAGAAGGGAAATGACCATCGGCTTCTTGTGACAAGAATACATAGAACTTCCTTTGAGGTTGGTCATACGTGGAAATTAGTAGCCACTTCCAAATAAAACAAATGGGTGTTGGGTCATCGTATGCTATCTTACTTTTCAGACCTAGAAGAAAATTCTCAAAGACTTCTCCGTTTGTGATGTGGAGATTCGTTCCACGTGAAGGTGGTAGCAGCCTTTAGCTTGATGGTGATTTGTGGACGTTTAACCTATTAGAGAAAATGATGCAAGTCAAGAAAAAAAATCCTTAATTTTTAGAACTCCCATGCTGACATCCATAAATTCCTCAATATATCCTGTCACATCAAACTTCAACCTTAATTAAACTCCTTGATTATGGATTACTTTTACTTTGTTTTACATTATATGTCTCTAGATTACTTTTACTTTTACATTATATGTCTCTAGATTTACGGATAAAACTCCCATGCTGACATCCATATCTTCTAGATATATCCTCACAAGGGTAATGACAATTGGCTTCTTGTGACAAGAATACATAGAACTTCCTTTGAGGTTGGCCATGCATGGAAATTAGTAGCCACTTCCAAATAAAATAAATGGGTGTGGGGTCATCGTATGCTATCTTACTTTTCAAACATAGAAGAAAATTCTCAAAGACTTATCCGTTTGTGATGTGCAAATTCATTCCAGTTGAAGATGTGTGACATTCCGAATTTTGACCCATTTTTGGGATTTATAAAACGTGTATTTCGTCGGTGCGCTTATAGTTAAATCTTGCCTAGAACTGATCACTCTTGGGTTATTTTTAAATTTGAGATTTCGCTAAAATCGCACTCGATCGAATTTGGCCGTTATTTAGAGCCCGAACTTTGGTGTCGAATTTCTCGCAATTTCGTGACAAATTTAATTGGACGGTGTCAATATTATTATGGCCAGCGTCGATATTACCCGGAATTGGTAAAAAGTAAAATTTGGATCGGGTGCGGATTTTGACTAGTAGACCTCCCTCTTAGTGTATTTTAGTTAGTGTTTTTGGTCTTTTTCCTAATTTATAAATTAGGGTTTTTCGTGGATCGTCGAATCGACTTCGATTTTGAACGTGGGCCGTTGGAACGCACTCGATTGAGTTGACTTTCCTCTCTCTCTCTCTCTTTCTCCCGGCCACGTCCCCCCTGCGCACATCCCCTCCCCTCTGCCATGCAGACCTCACTCTCTCTCCTCCTTTCTTTTTCTTCTTCTTCCTTTTTCTTCTTCCTCCTTCCCCTTCACCGTTACTCCTGCTCCCCTTCTGCCCGACCGCCGCGCACCCAGCCGCAGGTTGCTCGTCGTCCGCCTTGGGTCGTCCGTCGCCGCGTGTCTCGCCGTCCGCCTTGGGTCATTCGCCGCCGTGCGTCTCGCCGCCCAGCCACAGCTCGTCGTCGCCATCACTTGCCAACTCGCCGCCCGCCTACTCGCGGCTCGCCTGGTCGAGCTCGTCGCTGCCGCCCAGCTACCGCACGCCGTCGCCGTCCCTCGCCAGCTCGCAGCCCGCCTTCTCGCGGCTCGCATGGCTGAGCCCGTCGCCATCACCGCAGTGCACCCAGCCACAGCTCGTCGGCCGTCCGCCTTGCGCCGCCCGCCGCCGCGCGTCTCGCCGCTTCCACCCACTTGCCATCGTCGTGCCGCTCCCCAGCCTTGCCGCACACTCTCGCTCGTTCGCCTGCTGCCGCGCCGTCGCCCATCGCTGCCGCCGTCGCCCATCGTCGCTCGCCCGGCGGTGTCGCCTAGCCTACCGCCCGGGCCGTGGCCGAGCGCGCTCGGCCGCCGTCCCGGCCGTGGCCGAGCAACCTGCAGTCTGCTACCCTTGCCCGAACCGAGTGCCGAGCTGCCGCCCGGCGCCTAACCGCCGTCCCGACCGTGGCCAAGCTTGCCCGGCCCGCTCGCCCGTCGTGCCCGGCCTCTTCGCCCGTGCCGTGGCCGAGCGCGCCTGCCGCCGTCCCGGCCGTGGCCGAGCAACCCACTGCTACCCTTGCCCGAACCGAGTGCCGAGCAGCCGCCCGGCGCTAACCGCCGTCCCGGCCGTGGCCAAGCTTGCCCAGCCGCTCGCCCGTCGTGCCCAGCCGCTCGCCCGCACGCCTGGCCTCTCGCCCGGCCGTGGCCGAGAGTCCCAGGCCGTGGCCGAGGGCTGTGCCAAGCCGTAGCCGAGCTGCTTGCCCGTTGTGCCCTCGCCCGCCGCTGCCCTGACCGGCCATTTAGCCCCCTTGCCGGTTTTCCTTGGGCCAAAACCTAGGTAAGTGACTTTCTAAACCGTACTTAGTACTTTGGGTATTATTAGACTTGTTTAGGGTGATTAGTGTTGGTTTAGTGACTAAGTTAGGTAGGGATTAGTTAATTGAATGTGATTGGTTTATGGATTATTGTGGTGGTGATTTTGTGGCTAAATTAGTGATCGATCGAGATGGGTTTAACGACTGAGTTATCGTGGTGTTTATGGGTGAAATTGATGTCTGAATGTGGCCGACTTGAAGGTCGGATTGGTGGGCTAATGTGGTGAGCATGACTTGAATTTGATTAGTCTAACGTGTTAGATTGATATTGACGAATTGTGTGTGGCATATGTGCATGAGGAATGTCCTGAGGCGTGGTTACGCGGGTGTGGCTAGAAAGGCAAGAAATGATCTGAGGCGTGGTTACGCTGGTCGAGAGAAATGTCCTAAAGCGTGGTTAAGCGGGACTAAGCCCGGATTGATTGGAGGGCTGCCAACCTGAGGCGTGGTTACACGGGTGTGGCTAGAAAGGCAAGAAATGACCTGAGGCGTGGTTACGCGGGTCAAGAGAAATGTCCTGAGGCATGGTTACGCGGGACTGAGCCTGGATTGATCGGAGGGCTGGACCTAAGGCGTGTTGACGCGGGTCGTGGTTAGTTAGTTGGACACGTATACGAAATGTGTTTAGTTGAATTGGGTGAATGTACGTGGTTATGACGCTCGAGTGTTCATTTTATGTTCTTGAGCTATTATTGCATTATTGTAATTTAACTAATGCGTGGAGTTGGCGTGTGATTCGGAGTGAGGTAAGTGTGCATGAGAATTTTATCATGTCGATTGCTAGGTTGCATGTTGGGACTCGTCTGGGTACGCATTGGCCTAGGTGGGATTTAGGTTGTTTGCTTATTGATATTTATTCTCATTGCTGTAGTGCAAACCATTTCAGATCTTCGACACCGACCTTAATCATGCCGCCACCTCGGCGTTTTAGGGTCCCTATGCATACGGTGCATGAGGAGACCGAGTATCCAGTAGGTCCACATCAGACTTACATTAAGCACCTCACTACAGTCTGGGTAGATGTGGGCTTAGAGGACTTGCAACGTCATACTTACTTGGCCTGGTTCTATCGTGACGGGTTGGAGTTAGTTGGCCCAATCCGGGATTTCGAGGGACAGCAGCACGGCAACGAGGATGCCGTGGATTGAGAGCCCGGGGATATGTATGCTCCCGATGGTGAGATTTTGGACTCCGAAGATCCCCAGGAGAACCCTGGTCCCGAACCCGAGCCCGTACCAGAACCTGTAGTGCCTGCGGATCTCGAGCTCGAAGAGGAATTTGAGGAGTCCGAACCTGAAGAAGAGCCCGAGTCTGTGCCAGAGCCCATGGAGTCCGAACCTGAGGAGGAGCCAGGTAACGAGGAAGAGCCGATCGAGATCAACTCTTATACGGAGTCGGAGTCTTCAGGGTCTAATTCAGATTGGGCACCGTAAAAGTGTTTGGGTGATGGGTTTAGAAGCTTTTTGGTAGAGCTCTTTTTGTGCAGCTAGTCAGCCTACCCTACAACCTGTCCCTTTTTGATGATAATGGTGGATGTTAATCCTAAGAGCCTAATATCTGATTGTCTGGCTGAATGTTGTAAGTGACTGTTTTCCATTGCTATGAAATTATTGTTTTATGCTGTTATTATCCCTCTGTCATTGTTTATTGTCCGGGTTGTTTTATTCCGCTTCTGCTTGCGTACTCATGTGGGTATCTCGTTTGGGTCGGCGACGCGTCCTAGGATGTCACGTTCGATACGACCATCGTAGGGGTGTCGCGAGCCCGTTAGGGTCCGGGGCGTGACAAGATGGTAGCAGCCTTAAGCGTGATGGTGATTTGTGGACGTTTAACCTATTAGAGAAAATGATGCAAGTCAAGAAAAAAAATCCTTAATTATTGAAACTCCCATGCTGACATCCATAAATTCCTCAATATATCCTGTCACATCAAACTTCAACCTTAAATAAACTCCTTTATTATGGATTACTTTTTCTTTGTTTTACATTATATGTCTCTAGATTTACGGATAGCATGACTCCATATCTTCTAGATATGTCCCCACAAGGGTAATGACAATCGGCTTCTTGTGACAAGAATACATAGAACTTCCTTTGAGGTTGGCCATGCGTGGAAATCAGTATCCACTTCCAAATAAAACAAATGGGTGTTGGGTCATCGTATGCTATCTTACTTTTCAGACCTAGAAGAAAATTCTCAAAGACTTATCCGTTTGTGATGTGTAGATTCGTTCCAAGTGAAGATGGTAGCAACCTTAAGCTTGATGGTGATTTGTGGACATTTAACCTATTAGGGGGAAAATGATGCAAGTCAAGAAAAAAAATCCTTAATTATTGGAACTCTCATGCTAACATCCATAAATTCCTCAATATATCCTGTCACATCAAACTTCAACCTTAATTAAACTCCTTGATTATAGATTACTTTTACTTTGTTTTACATTATATGTCTCTAGATTTACGGATAGCATGACTCCACATCTTCTAGATATGTCCCCACAAGGGTAATGACAATCGGCTTCTTGTGACAAGAATACATAGAACTTCCTTTGAGGTTGGCCATGCGTGGAAATTAGTAGCCACTTCCAAATAAAACAAATGGGTGTTGGGTCATCGTATGCATCACCCAAACCAATTTACACGACACTGATGGCATGAATACTCTTCCATTCCACATATGACACGGACTATTGGCGATGCCTAGGTCTATAAAAGGCAGCCACATAATGCAAGAACTCCTGGTTAAGTCTGTTTCTTCTTCTCCCCCATATTACTCTTGCTTCCATTTCACTTAAAAACTTCATGGAAACGGAATTGGCCTATGATTTGTTTCCGTACGTAAGGATTTACAAGGATGGCCGAGTGGAGAGACTCATGGGCACAGACATCGTCTCTCCATCGCTCGATGAGAAAACGGGCATCCAGTCGAAAGACATCACCATTTCTTCGAACTCCGCCGTATCAGCAAGACTTTACATCCCAAAAGCAGCCATGGACTCTCTCCAAAAGCTCCCCGTACTCTTGTACTTTCACGGAGGAGGCTTCCTATTCGAAACAGCTCGATCACCAACTTACCACAACCATCTCAATGCGCTAGTTGCAGAGGCTAACGTCATCGCCATCTCAGTCGATTATAGAAGGGCACCAGAGCATCCTCTTCCGGCAGCTTACGATGATTCATGGACTACCCTCACATGGGTGGCCTCTCATTCTGTCGGAAACGGGCCCGAGGAGTGGTTGAATTCTCATGCCAATCTCAAGAAGGTGATATTAAATGTTCTTCATTTTATATTTAAATCACTTATTATATTTAGACCACTTATTGGCATATGTATACTATTAGTTAAGATGGCATATACATACTAGTAGTTAAGATGCCCAAATTCACAACAGTAGATTTAGCATATGTTTGGTGATACATGTTTTAAAGTTACAACACTTATAGCGGCGCAGGGACGAGGATCAAGTCGATCATCCCTTTCACCGCCCCATGCAGGAAGGTTTTGCTTTCGTGACCCCGCCGTAAAATCAATTTTTTTTCCTCAAAAAGAACATGTACCACTTGCTAGCCGGTTATTTCACATTTTCCTTATCTTTATTATTTTAAGATAGCCTCTTAAGTAGATTTCATGAAGTAGAAAATAGCATCATGTGTTGTTTTAGAGACAATTAAGCTCCAACATTTACAAATTTGTCAAAGTGGGACTATTGTGAAGATGAAACACATGACCAACAATTGTTCCATATTGCTTATTTAGAGGACTTTTTTTTTTTTTGGTCAAAGCTTATTTAGAGGACTTACAAACTAGCATTTTCTACAAAAGCAGGACTTGTCGAGAGAAAAGACTGTTCTTAGGGTTGCATCAATATTATTTCATATTTTTGAAGCATATATTATATAAAAAAAATTAATAGCTTGTTTTCTGAAATTGTACAAGGGGCTAATATCTGCCCGCTGCAAGCCCCGTGGGTCGTTTTATTGTGGGGAAAAATAAAGCCTCACTATAAGTTGATTCCTAGAATTGTCCTTAAAATGTATGTTTAATGGAATAATGGTTATTTGTTTCATCATAGGCCCTAGATTGTATGTTCAAATTTCAAATTGGTTTTGGCTGGTCAGTGGAGATTTCAAATATGTCGGTAACTAAATATAATAATGTTTTACTGTTCTATCAATTAAACTAATACTTTTAATGATGTAACATAATTTTCTGTTGTGAACTGTTTATGGCATCCTTAAACAGGCTCGGCAATAAGTATGCACACTAATCCTATAAATTTGCTATAGGTGTTTATGGCTGGAGACAGCGCCGGCGGTAACATAGTTCACCACATGGGCATTCGATTGGGAGAGGAAAAGTTACATGGAATTGAATCTCCAGACGCTATTATGGTGCATCCTTATCTATGGGGCAACGAGCCATTGCCTTCCGAGACCACCGAACCCGAAAAGAGGTCCTTGGTCGAGAAGTTCTGGCTCGCGGCAAACCCAACGACCACCGGGTGCAACGACCCGCTACTAAACCCGGCAATGGATCCGAGGCTCTCGGCTTTGGGTTGCAAAAGGGTCCTCGTTTGTGTTGCTGAAAAGGATATTTTGACACAGAGGGGTTGGTATTACAAGGAGTTGTTGAGAGAGAGTGGATGGAATGGAGCTGTGGAAGTGATGGAAGCACCGGGGGAGGATCATGTGTTTCATTTGTGGAATCCCAGCTGTGATAATGCTGTGAAGATGATGAAGAAATTGGCCTCCTTCATGAATGAGTAGCTTCCTTTGTGTGCGGGGCTAATTCTTGTTATCTCAATGTTTATTTGTACTAAAAGACCATTCTAGGTTTCCATTTGCTAGGAACCATGTTCCTTGTGTGGTAATTTTCTAATATGTTTTGTAAGTTTTAAACCCTATTGGTAAAATCGTGTAACGGTCAGTCTCTTGGTTGGTACGCTGATGGTAATTACCAATTAATTTTAGCTACTTACAACCGTCAAATGCAATAGTAAGTTATCGACATTTTAAAAAAATTTACCACTCAAAACAAAAACTCAACTGTGAAAATAGAAATCTACCTTCAATATGAGTAATTGACCGACATAGAGTCGATTTTAATGTAGCACCTCACCACCTATGGTAAGTAATTTATCAACTTCAAATGGAACATAAGTTATTTACTTACTTAGAGATTTACCACTTAAAACAAAGACTTAGCAGTGAAATGGGCAACTTACATAAGTAGGTCCACTTACAAGTTAGTTAGGGCCCGTTTGGCAACGTGCCAAACAGTGAAAATTTCTGTTCTTTTGTTCCCAGAAATAGTTTGGGAACAGAAATGCGTTTGGTAAACTTTTTGTTCCCGGGCACATTTTTGCAAAAATTTGTGCCGAGAAACAGTTTTGGAAGAGAAACAAGAAGTAAAAAAATGTTGCTTCTTGTTTCTCGGCACAATTTTGAGAATCAGTTTTTTTTTCTTTTTCTTTTTTTTCTTTTCTTATTTTTGTGTTGTTCTTCCCTGGGCTGGGCCGGCCGCCGGTCCGGCGACCGGCCATGGCCAAAGAAGAAAATGGGTAGAAAGAAAAAAAAATTAAACAATTCAAAATATTATTAAAATATTATTTGGGAACAGAAATTTTGTGTAGTTACCAAACGCATTTCTGTTCTTTTCTACTCTAGGAATAGAAATTTTGGACAGTTTATCAAACGCCTTCAAATACTCAGAAATTATTTCCGGGCACAGAATAAAAAAAAATCATTTCTGTTCAGAAATTATTCCCGGGCACAGAATGGTATTCATGCGCACCCTTAGCTACCAACAAATACAGAATTCGTCATTATATATAAAAATTGAAGTTTTGTAACTTGTCATTGAAATGAGTAACTTATCGACATAGGCTCGATTTTACTTTACTAAGTTCGCACGCCAAATTTAATGGTTAATTATCGAGTAGTTTAGAAATTTACCACTGGAAATCTTGCCATTAAAGTTGGAAATGACTAAGCGGTCCAGACTTGGTTTGCAAATCGAAAGTCACAGGTTAGATTACCCAATCTATCATTGATCTTAAAAAACCTTGGTTAGTTTGCGAAAAACGGGCCTAGATTTAGGTGTATCGTCCATCTTGGGCTTCCCCCGCTCGCCTGAAGTGACTGTGGTGACAGGCTCACCCAATGGGAAGTTGGTGCTTCAACGGCACCTCAAATCTAACATTCCATCAGCTTATGAGGTAGGTCCCCGTCCCTACCAAACCTTTTTTTTTCCCGCAACAAAAGTTAGTAATGCACGCGCGTTTAGGGTGGTAAGTTACCGCCAATAAATGAATTAACCAAAGTTCAATTCAACAGTAAGTTTTTTTCTTTTAAGTTGGAAATGAAATGTTGTATATTGGAGTTAAACTACTTACCAATTCACTATTAGTATCCTTTTTCTCCCTGATCCTGTTCTCGCACAAATCCAAATTTGAAGGCCGAAGTAAATACAATCATACCAGCGAGCCTCGGCAAGACTCCAGTAAGTTAAAGCATGGTTTCCGGCGTTAGGGCTCTGAGGCGATACATGTCATGCACAAATGTATCGTCTCGAAGTCATCCGCAATGTAAAGCGGCACGTCAGCTGATGTTATGCAGACAACATTAGCAGATGCTCACAGCAGAAGATGACATCCTTAGCAGCTGCTGAAACGATAGTCGATGCTTCTAGTTGCAGGATCTATTTCGTAAAACACTCCAACTCTGTGTTTACCAAAGAATAAAACGCCCATGAATACAGTCTAGAAACTCTCTCAAAACATTCACAGAGTCTAAGTAAAAGAGTGTAACAAATGAGCATGATAAGCTCTCGGTTCCCCGATTCTCACCGTGTGCACTTCTTCTCATCCGATTTCGGCTTCTCGAGCTTATACACATAGTCATCACAAATGTTGGGTAAAACCTCAACTAGCTGTTCTATCTTCAATTCTTCCAAACTCATATTCAGGCAAAAATCGCGCAGCATCAGTTAGTGTCACATGAGATTACTTTTCCATGTCAGTACGAATCAGCTCGATCCTTGCACATCCCTCTTCAATCAATTAGCCGTTGTAAACCTCATAGTTTTCGTATAATCGCGATCTCGTTTCATCGCCAATTGGTGCTACAATGTAAGTAACTCATGGTACTATAACCTACATCTGCGGCACTAAAGACGTATATTTCCTTACATCCATCTTAAATAGATATGTAAGTTATCGAGTACGTAGTTTTGTCATCTACAAAATCATCGAGTAATGGGTCGCACCGTGGCAGGTAAAATTAGTGTCCATAATTATTTACAGCCGGTAAAGTTAGTTATGCCAGGAGGCAGGTCAAAGATGATGACTCAAGGTTGACTAATGTAAACGGACTAATTCCTACATAAACACCCACTTTGGGTCAAATCTTAATTCTACTTCGAACTTTTTTTATCTAAAAAAATCACAAATTTTTCACTTTACGAATCCAAAAACGCCTCTAATTTTTTCAAGATTATCAACACCAGAGCTAGTTAGAGGTTTATTATCATGTTAATAATCTTGAAGAAACCAATGACGATTTTTGAACACGTTAACAAATTTGGGACTAAAGTGAAAATTAGAGATTTTTTTTTTCTAGACCAAAAAGCATTCGGGATCGAATTGCGATTAGACCGAAAGTGGGGACTTTTTAGAAAATTAGGCCCATAATGAACTCTCTTATTTTTCAGATATGGATTCTCTCTCTCCAAATACTTTTTCTTTAATGATGTGTAGATTCGTTCTTCGTGAAGATCGTACCAGTCTCAAGCTGGATTTGGAGATGTGCACGTTTAATCCACGAGAGAAATTAATGCAAGTAAATAATAAAATCTTTTAGTTGTTCCTCAATATATTCTGTCAATTTGAACTGTTAAGCACAACTCAATTCTTATTTCGCTTACTTAAACTTAATTAAACTCCTGATTATTGATTACTTCACGATTTGTTAAGATTACTTTAACTTTATATGATACTATACTATGTTTATATTAAATATATTATAATATATCTTCCAAAGGCTTTTTAAAACCAGTAAAATTCGGCTTGTTTCGTCGAAAACGAATTATTTAAAAAATATTTTCATAAAAACGACAACTTGCATTGCTTACAAAAATGAATAGACGAAAAATATTTATATTATTTACGAAAATGCTTGGGCATAAATCTCGTCGTTAATGAAAATATTTTTTAATTGACTAATTATTTCAAATGATCTTTTTTTAGGAAAAAGTATTATAAATCATTCACTTTTCATGAAACAAATGAACCCTAAATATCGTGTTTGTTAAAAGACGAACAAAAAAAATCAATTGTGTGTCCGATCGGGCCGGCTATCAAGTTTCTTATCCAGTCAATATCATCATTCCAAATAAAACAAATGGGGGGTTTCTTCATAGTAAATATCGCAGCAAACAAAGAATTACACAACGCCAGTCGCATGAAGATTCTTCTTTCCAGATATGACAAAGACTATCGCCGATGTTTAGGTTTATGAAAACAGCAACATAATGCAAGAACACAACATAAACTCCTGCTTCACTCTCTGTTCTTCTTCTCCTCGATAGCATTCTTGCTTCTGTTTCAGCCAAAAACCTAATGGAAACAGAAGTGGCCAATGACTTGTTTCCGGGTGGTAAGGATTTACAAGGATGGCCGAGTGGAGAGACTAGTGGGCACGGCCACCGTCTCTCCGTCACTCGATGTGAAAACCAGCGTCCAGTCGAAGGACGTCGCCGTTTCATTGGACTCCGGCTTGTCGGCAAGGCTTTACATTCCCGAAGCGGTGATTGGCTCTCTCCAAAAGCTCCCCGTGCTTGCGTACTTTCACGGAGGAGGCTTAGTGGAGACGGTGCGGTCGCCAACCTACCACAACTATCTCAATGCCCGAGCTGCGGAGGCTTACATCATCGCCGTCTCCATCGATTTTAGAAGGGCCCCCGAGCATCCTCTTCTGGCGGCTTACGATGATTCATGGACTACCCTCAAATGGGTGGCCTAAACGGCCCCGAGGAGTGGTTGAAGTCTCGTGCCAATCTCAGCAAGGTAATCTGAAATGTTCTTCATTTTCTATCGAGATCACTTATTGGCGATGTATGTTTGAAAGTTACAATACGTTAAAATTGAGTGAGGCAATTTTTTTATAAGCTAGTATTTTTTTTTATGGATGTATGCTCAAATACATTCAGTACCACTTGCTAGATGGTTATTTGACATTTTACTCTTATTTTTATTATTTCCATAATAAAAAGATGGCCTATTGGTAGATTTTATCAAGAACATTAGCGTCATGGGTTGGTTTTAAAGAGCCGATCAAGCTCCAACTTCACAAATTTAGTCAACGTGGGACAATTGTGAAGGCGACACACAAGGAAAACAATTGTCTCATTTAGGTTACCTAGATTTTCCAAGCTTGCATTCTTTACAAAAGTAAGACTTGGAAGATATTGTTTTTATTGTTGTATTGATATTATTTCATATTTCGAAAAAAAAAACATTATAAGCAAATAAAAAAATATGGTTTTGGCTAAATTCTATGTTCAAATTTCAAAATAGTTTTGGTTGGGTAGTAGAGATTTTGAATTTGTCATTAACCAGATATAGAAATGCTTTACTATTCTATCTAGAAATCTATCACATAATTGAGGATAAAGACAGCACAAGTTTCATAACTTTCATATAGCACTCACTCGTTGACCATAACTTTTTTTGATCAATTGAATGTCATGACACTTGTGGTGAACGTTTTTAAAAAAATTATGACACTCAATTGATCGATTGAAAAATTATGACACTCAAGTGATCAGAAAAAAAAAAGTTAATGGTATTCAAGTAAGTATCGTATGAAAATTGTGGCACTCAATTGATCGAAAAAGAAATTATGCCACTCAAGTGAGTACCGTACCAAAGTTATGACACTTATGGTATTTTTTTCCCCAAATAGTTGAAAACAAATCAACAAATACTTGGAAATCATCATTTGATTTTGGTGGTTTCAAAACCAATTTTTCATATTTACAATGGTAATGTGTTGAGAGCTGTTTATTAGACATCTTTACAACATTCTATAAATTCTTCATAGGTGTTTATGGCTGGTGATAGTAACATAGTTCACAACATGGGCATCCGGTTGGGAGGGGAGAAGCTAGATGGAATTGAATTTGCAGGTACTATTATGGTGCACCCTTATTTCTGGGGCAACGAACCATTGACCACCGAACCCAAGAAGAGGTACTTCCTCAAGGAGTTCTGGCTTGCGGCAAACCCAACGACCACCGGGTGCGATGACCCACCAATAAACCCGGCAAACGACCCCAGGCTCTCAGGTTTTGGTGTCAATAGGGTCCTAATTTGTGTTGCTGAAAAGGATACTTTGAGACAAAGGGATTGGTAGTAGAAGGAGTTGTTGAGTGAGAGCGGATGGAGGGGAGCTGTGGAATTGATGGAAGCACCGGGGGAGGATCATGTGTTTCATTTGTTGAATCCCAGCTGTGATAATGATGTGAAGATGATGAAGAAATTGGTCTCCTTCATGAATGAGGACAAATAGGGACTAATTCTTGTTATCTCTATGTCTATTTGTACTAAAAGACGAGTCTAGGTAGCATTTGCCAGGAACCATGTTCCTTGCATGGTAATTTTCTCATATAGTTTGTATATTTTGAATACTATCGGTAAAATCATGTAACGGGCAATCGCTTGGTTGGTACACCGATGGTAATTTACCAATAGTTTTAGCTACTTACCAATACCGAATGCAATAGTAAGTTATCATCAACCTTTAAAAGAAAGTTACCACTCAAACTAAAAGTTTAACAGTGAAAAAATTTATTTATTTCTCACTACCAACGTCAAATGCAATGGTAAGGTCCTGATGTGAACGACCAGATCACCCTCCTAGAATCACTGTCCACCAAATGGATCGTCACATCGGGGGCAGCAACCCAGGGAAGTGTCATGATTTCTGTCCAAAAGTAGAAGCCATAAGCAAAGGCGTGCAAAAATAAGAGAAAACAGAGAAACGGTGGAGTTATCTCCCAACACAGAGAATGACATGACAAGTCACTGAAAAATGCCTAAACTGGTCATTAACTCATTATTGTGCCATTGATAGCTTCAAGCCCAAAGGGCATATCAAAATAGGACTGAGCGATTGTAAAGTCGATTTAGATTTCACGTGAAATCTAAAACTTATCAGTTGAAACCGGTTTTCTAATGTTTGGAAACTAGATACCACCCTATATATCACCTTGCATACCTTGAAATCTAAAACTTATCATGTCAGAGATTCTAGAGTCTACTTAGATTCTACATGTATTTTTAATTGAATGATTACAGTGAATCATCACTTCTAATGATCACTATTTGCTGCTACAATCCATTAACCACAACTCATACTTAGACGCACGAAAAATATAAAATATTAACAAAGTAAAAATCTCAGTCATGTATATCATTGGAAATTGAAGCTCGAACAAGTTGTTCTAGATTACACACTCATCATTGGATATCAAGGACTACCGCAAGATCGCGCGAAAACATAGAATAAGAGAAACATAGACTTGTTCCAAATCCAATTGGGACCTACCCGTTGGAACCCGTTCCTCAATTTTTGGAAATTAGAACATACTTTGCATACCCTTGGAATCGGATCAATTCTCTGGTCCCTAGTTCTACGCTGGAACCATGCTCACCTTATATCAAAAGCAGATGCTAGAACAATTCATCAAACTAGAACAGTGTATCCCAATCTTAGTTCATTTCTTCATATTGTCTTCTCCAAAACAACATCAATTAAGAGACCCATCTATGTTGAATTTCCACATCGGATTCTCGTCACACGCTGATCATCTAAGTTGTACATGTTTGTGTTTTCACATCACCAATTTACGGGATATTGGGCAAAAGTTAACGACGAGTTGATTTATCACGGGTATACTGGTTTGAGATTTTTCATGGCATGAAAATTTGTTATGACTAAATGTACCACAGATGTATCAATTTAGAATTTTTTGTGAACAAAAATTAGATTGGGGGTAAATGTGATATGAATGTTACTAGTTTGGGGTTTTTTGTGATATTAATTAGAAAATTCAATATTTTTAAGCCCGTGCTCAACCCAGTCCAAGCAGTCAATCGACGCTAGCACATCAGTCAGATCTGATTCGGTCCAACATGGATCACTTGGTAACTTGAGTATTTAAAATTTGTCACATTATTTAGTATATTAATTTAAAGGGTTAATACCACGAAAAATCCCAAATTATTACACATGTTATAAATTTACCCCAAACTAATTTTTTGATCAAGAAAAACCCCAAAAGGGTACACTTGTGACAAATTTATCTAAAATTAATTTTTTGACTATTAAAAACCCTAAATTGATACATTTATGACAAATTTACCCTCCATTAAATTGAATTAATACCACGAAAAATCACAAATCGGTATACTTGTGATAAACGAAAGGTAAAACCCCAAACTGGTATACCCATCGACTATCATGTGCCATCCAACTCAGAAATTTGACAGTAAAATTTAAGGAAAACTAACGGAGGGTAAAATTGTCACATATGTACTAATTTAAGATTTTTGGTAGTCAAAAAATTAATTTGAGATAAATTTATCACAGGTGTACCGGTATAAGATTTTTCGTGATTTTAACCCTAATTTAAATGTTAATTATCACTCGATTTTAGTTTGGATTAAGTCCATTTTGTTCCGTCAGAAAGAACATTAGCAGCAGAAATTGCAGTATAATATATCTTACGCTTATGGATAGTAGTAGGTCAACATTTTATGAACGGCTCATAAAAAAACATATTCTGAAAATTCTGCCTTCTCTTTTAGGCATATACAGGCATGAATCAATCACCTCTAGATAGCAATTTACCACAAACCATATACATCATATAAACATGCACATACAGGTTTCCTAAATGTATATGTTTCGTCTTAATACACACGATGCCGAAATCAACCATCCTGCAAATTGCGGTCATCGACCCAGATTATTGCGAAGTTCGCTGCTGATAAACCATTGTGATCACCAGTTGAAGTACTCCGGAAAGAGAGAGCGTTCCTCATCTTCGCAGCACATGGAGACGAATCTGTACGTTTCAATCAAGAGTCTGGGGAATCGTTTCGCGTAATAGCTGTCCAAATCCTCGGGAGATGATCCAACTATCTCCTGCCACATCCAACCATCAGAACAATACCAAATATGAGCCACAAAGTCCACACTACTGCTCGCGGATACATTCACTCTATAAGCCTTGCCGAGATTCAGTTGCAGTAATCACATATAACTGTACAGCGATGGCTCACCGCAGGACGTGTTTAATGATTGTAAAGTAGACAGATAAACATCGAACATAAAATATTGACTTCACGTATTGGTGATAGTAATGTAATCAGTAATGTCCATGTCATTGTAGATATGAAATTTTCATGCATTATTTGCACTGGAAAGTAGAAACATACCTGAATTTTCGGTGGAAGTTCTCTGTAATGGCTAAACGTGTTGCGCACAATTCGCAGTAAGTCTCTTACTCTTTTAAACTTGTAGGCCCTGAATTTACACTGGTGCTCAATGACTTTACAATCTATCTTTTCGTGCCATTCCTCGTCGAAAACATGCTGAGCAATGCTCTCCAGTTTTTCCAGAAGATCAGATTTTGTTCCCTTTGCTCTCGATTCTACCCAGTCGCTGACTTCTCGGAAAAAGGACAGTCTCATCTTTGAATTCCAAAAGAGTGGATGGCCAAGCACCTCCAATGCCTTTGGCCTGCCAGATTTTAGAAGAGTTCAGAATGTAGATGTCCTTTTTTTATGGCCGCAAGAGATAGACCGGCTTCAGTAATTCCCTAAGCATCTTCAATGAAAAATTGGAAGGCAAAAACAACTTGCTCTAACCTCCTTTACTAGCAAGAAACATAGTTATAATCCCTGAGAATATTCAGTCCCGTTAAAATTACATTAGGAATGATCGGCATGTGCATCTTTGAGTACTGACAAGTTAAAGCAGCTACCTGTAATCGGCTTATGTGGGAACATGTACAACTATCAATGGCATTTACAGTTCAATATTGTTCGGTCATTGTACTTCCAGAAGGAACAGATACACAAGATTTGAGTGCCACAGGGAATTGAGAGTTGATAAATGACTTACAGGAAATCCATTGAAGTATAGAAAGAAAAAGAGATCATGCACATTACATGCCAGTACTCTCACCTCAGGTTGGGATTGGGGTTTAGTAAACGAGTGAACAAATCTGCAGCTTCTGGCAAAAATTCCACTGGGGACAAGTCAATCGGGTACTCTTTGATAATACTATCGCCCTTTACACCGACTCCAAATGGATATCTTCCGCCAGTGACGCAAAAGAACAAGATGCAACCAAGACCAAACACATCGTCTGAGTATGTTTGGTGCACAGGACAAAGTTGTTCAAGCGCTTGCAATCCCGGGCTGCCAAAATCTGCAAGAGAGACATCAGGTATTCGCACTTGTTAAAGAGCCATTATCACTCAGCCACATACAGATGTGGCATTGTGGATTCAACAGTTAATCAAAAGAGAGCGGCAGAAGCTGTTAGTTCTCCAAAATCATACCACAATCTAGATAGCAAAATCATTGAGGGATCCAACTTTCCATGTAAGATCTTCTTTAGAAAAAAAGAAAGCTCTATGGCTAAAATTATACCGCTGCAGGTTTTAGTATCACCAAACAGATTCATAACTGCATAGATCGATTTTAACTGCAAAGAAGATCTGAGGTCCAGGTAAAGCTGTCAAGAGCACTTACCGGTGACATGATATCCTGAGGGAGACGTATCCCCAGAGAGGAGTTTACTACTGCCCATATCAGATAACTTCGCACATAATTCCTCAGTAATCAACACACTTCGAGGCTTTAAGCCTTGATGAATTATTCCTAAGCAATGCAAATGGACAAGCCCTGAGACCACATCCCTGTATGATAATATAGAGTAGATCTTAGGACTTAAAACAACAAGACATCTGTCAACCAAACGATGTTTTCCATTAATCAAACAGACATTCAAGATCAACGAAGGCGAGGTTTGTGAAAAAGGTGGTAGTGTGAACTCTACTTATATTTGATTACCATCATTTAGAAACAGAAACCCTACTTGAAGGCGTTGGTTGACAGTTATACCCAAATTGATAGAAACTTCTCTAACACAACATGATAGGGGAAATGAAATAATGTCAAGACGACAGTAAAAAAAAAAAAAACTATTAGGACTACTTTAAAAGAAAAACGTGGAAACGATAATTCTGTATTCTGATCAACTGCCACAAGAAGCTGGGTGGCAAATTTTGAGATGACATGAGAGAAGAACTCATTCACTGGGAGAAACCTGAATCTGGAACAACACGAGGACGGCTAATTCAAAACTGATATTACATTACCTTTTTTTCAAAATCCAGTTCTTTCATATTGCATCGAATTTACACTATTTCGGCTTAACATGAAATGACAATAATGACTGAGATGAACAAGGTAACATAATACAAATTGCCCCCCCGTGAGCCATATTTAATCAAAATGGGAAATCTTTCACTTTATCACTTAATGGTTACTGAGTATCAGCCTAGATAACAACAATGACCTTAATTTATGAAACTGAGACGTGAGGTTCAAACTCAGCCCATGACATCGAACCCATCAGGGTAACTCAAGGCCAGTTAGTGGCCTAATAATTGCCTGTCTTATGTATGACTTGGAAATTGCTGCCTGAGAACTGATTCAATGCAAGCAAAAGAAGAGGTCTAAAGGACTCAGTTTGATTGAGCATGGAGATTTTCTCTGTAAACATGCTTGAGCGTCATGTAAAAGTAAAACATAGGCAAGCAAGCACAAAATACAATAAGAGGTCTACAACAGTCGATTGTAGGAGTGCCACCAGAAGCAAAATACTGCAGTAATCTCTTAGTTCAAAAACCTTTTTTCAAATTTCACCACAAAAAAATTACCTCATCAGTTTGAGTAGCAAAGGTGAGGGATGGCCATCTTCCCTCCACAAGTTAACATCCTGCATCGTCCCCTTAACTGAATCCAATCGCATTTTGTACTCAATGATAGCATTTGATGCTGGGTCATCAGGGAAAACAGATTTTTCTGAAGAATTTGAATGTGCTAGTATTAAGTCATCTAAGCTGCAAGCACAACGCTCCAGGGCAAGATACACGAAATCCTGATCATTCTCTTCTCCATACAATCGAACAATATTTGGGTCTTGGTCAGATGCTGTCAGAGACTTTATTTCTTGTGAAGCAACATAGTGATGAGCCCGGACAATGCGCTTCACTGCGACAGGTCGACCTTCATAGAAGCCCTCGAGGATGATGGTGCCCTTACTTCCTTTAGCGATTTCTGTATTTGATACAAAGAGTTTACCGATCTGACACCCAGGAGTGACACCACCAACAGGTTTCTTTAGGTTCATCCCCGCATCATCATTGCCCACACTATTACCAAGCCTGCCTTCATTCTCTGAAAATGCATGATGATCCTTTCTGTCAAGACCTCCATTACTCTTTCCAGACTTGCGTCTTTTCTTCCTCTTGGAAAGTGTTTTCGAATTAAAATCACCTTCATCACCACTATTACTGTTACCAAGCCTGTCTTCGTTCTCTGAAGAGACATGCTTGTCCTTTTTGTCAAGATTTTCATTTCTCTTTCCTGACTTGTGTGTTTTCTCTATCCAGCAAGGCGCTTTCATTTTAGACTGACCCTCAGCATTGATCCTATTAGTACCAAGCTTGCCATCGATCTCTGAAGAGACATCCTTGTCCCTTTTGTCAAGACTTCCATCACTCTCTATTGACTCGTGTGTTTTCCTCATCCGGGAAGGCATCTTCAAACCAGGATCACCCTCATCATAGCCCCTACTATCACAAATACTGTCATCGTTCTCTAAAGAACCATGCTGATCCTTGTTGTCAAGACTTTGATTTATCTTTCTAGACTTGCCTTTTTTCTTCCTCTTGGGCAGTGCCTTCAAATTAGGATTGCCCTCATCATCGCTCCGACAATTACCAAGCCTGCCTTCATCCTCTAAATAGACATGCTCCAATGCCTTTGGCCTGCTAGACATTAGAAGAGTTCAGAATGTAAATATTCTTTTGTTGTTCAGTCACAAGAGACAGATAACTTCAGTGATTCACTAAGCATCTTTAATGAAAATTGGAAGATGAAAACGATTTTCTCTAACCTCAATTACTAGCAAGAAACATAATTACAATCCCTGAAAATCATTCAGTCCCCTAAATATTACATTAGGAATGACTGGCATAAAATCCATCGAAGGATAGAAAAAGAGTTCATGCACATTACATGGTACTCTCACCTCAGGTAAGGATCAGGGTGTAGTAAACAAGCAAACAAATCTGCAGCTTCTGGCATAACTTCCACCAAGGACAAATCCATTGTATTCTCCTCGATATTACTATCGCCCTTTAGACTGCCTCCAAATGCATGTCTTCCACCAGTGATGCAAAAAGACGAGACACGATTAAGACCAAACTCATCAACTGAGCATGTTTGGTGGGCAGTACAAAGTTGTTCAGGCGCTTGCAATCCCAAGCTGCCACAATCTGCAAGATAGACATCCGGTATTCGCATTTGTCAAAGAGCTACTGTCACACATACAGATGTGGCATTATAGATTCAACAGTCAATCAAAAGAGAGTGGCAGAAACTCTTTGGATTTCCAGAGTCATACCACAATCTAGACAGCAAAATATTGAGTGACAGACACATACAGATGTGGCATTACGGATTCAACAGTCAATCAAAAGAGAGCGGCAGAAACTCTTTGGATCTCCAGAATCATACCACAATCTAGACAGCAGAATATCGAGTGATCCAACTTTCGATATAAGGTCTTCTTTAAATAAATAAATAAAAAAAGACAGCTGTTACAGCTGAAATTATATGGCTGAAGGTTTTACAGTATCACCTAACAGATTCAGACCTGCATGGATCAATCTTAGATGCAAGGAAGATCTAGGGTCCAGGTAAAGCCGTCAAGAGCACTTACCAGCACCATGATATCCTGAGGAAAACGTACCCCTGAGGAGGAGTTTACTACTGCCCGTATCAGATAACTTGGCACATAATTCCTTAGTAATCAAGACATTTTGAAGCTTTAACACTTGATGAATTATTCCTAAGCAATTCAAATGGACAAGCCCTGAGACCACATCCCTGTATGACAATATAGAGTCGATCTTAGCACTTAAACCAACAAAACATATGAACCAAACAATGTTTTCCATTAATTAAACAGACATTCAAGATCAACGAAGGCAAGGTATGTGGACAAGGGTGGTCGTCTGCCCTCTACCAATAATCGATTAACCAAAAGCTAGAAATAGAAACCCCACTTGAAGGCATTAATTGATAGTTAGACCCGATTCATAGAAACTTCTTTAACACAAAATGAGATGAGACATGGTAAGAATGTCAAGACAACAGTGGAGAAAAAATAATCATTAGGTCTATCATTAAAAGAAGAACGAAAACGTGGAAAGGATATTTTTGTATCATGACAACTGCCGCAAGAAGCTGGGTGGCAAATTTTGAGATGATAAGAGAGCGATTCACAGATAGAAACCCGAATCCGGAACAACATGAGGATGACCAACTCAAAACTTATACTACATGACCCTTTTTGCAAAAACCAGTTTTTTCATCGACTTTAAACTATTTCGGTAAATATCAAATGACAATAAGGATTGAGATGAACAAGGTAACACAATACGAATTGCCACCCCCTGTAAGCCAAATTCAATTAAAATGGGAAATCTGCCACTTTATAACTAAATGATTACTAACTGAGTATCATAGTAAGAAACGCCGAGTTCAGCCTAGATAGTAACAATAACCTTAATTTATGAAACTGAAACATGCGAGGATCAAAACTCAGCCCATGATATCGAATCCATCAGGGTAACTCGAGGCCAGTTAGTGGCCTAATAATTGCCCGTCTCATGTGTAACTCAGAATCACTGCCAGCAAAAGAAGAGGTCTAAAGGACCCAGTTTGATTGAGGCATGGAGATTGTCGCCGTGAACATGCTTGAGAGTCATGTAAAAGTAGAACATAGGCAAGCAAGCACAAAATACAATATGAAGTATGTAACAGTTTATTTAGGAGTGCCACCAGAGCAAAATTCTGTGGTAATGTCTCAGTTCAAACCTTTTTTTCCGCGTGTCACAACATAGAAATTACCTCATCAGTTTGAGCAACAGAGGTGAGGGATGGCCATCTTCCCTCCACAAGTTCACATCCTGCATCATCCCCTTAACCAAATCCAATCGCATTTTGTACTTGATGATAGCATTTGATGCTGGGTCATCAGGGAAGACAGATATCTCTGAAGAATTTGAATGTGCTCTTATTAAGTCATCTAAGCTGCTAGCACATAACTCCAGAGCAAGATACACGAAATCCTGATCATACTCTGCTCCAAATAACCAAGTGATAATTGAGTCTCGGTCAGATGCTGTCAGAGCCTGTATTTGTAGTGAACCAACATAGTCATGACCCCAAACAAGGCACTTCAGTATGACAGATCGACCTTCATAGAAGCCCTCAAGGAGGATGGTGCAGTTACTTCCTTTAGAGATTTCTGTATTTGATACAAAGAGTTTACCAATCCAACCCCCAGAAGTGCCACCATTAACAAGTTTCTTTAGGTTCATCCACGTGTCATCATTGCCCCTACTTTCACCAAGCCTGCCTTCATTCTCTAGAGAGACATGCTCCACCTTTCTGTCAAGACTTCTGTAACTCTTGGAAAGTGTTTTCAAATTAGAATCACCACTCCTACTGTTACCTAGCTGGTCTTCGTTCTCTGAAGAGACATGCCCGTCCTTTTGACACCCAAACTTGAGTGTTTTCTTTATCCAGCAGATCATTTTCATTTTAGAATGACCCTCATCATTGATCCTACTACTACCAAGCTTGCCTTCAATCTCCGAAGAGACATGCTTGTCCTTTTTGTCAAGACATCCGTCACTCTCGAGTGATTTTTGTGTTTTCCTCATCTTGGCAGGCATCTTCAAATTAGGATCACCCTCATCTTCACTCTCGGTATTACCAAGCCTGGCATTATTCTCTGAAGAGACACCCTCATCACCACTCCTACTGTTACCAAGCCGGTCTTCGTTCTCTGCAGAGACATGCCCGTCCTTTTGACACCCAGACTTGAGTGTTTTCTTTATCCAGCAAGTCATTTTCATTTTGGAATGACCCTCATCATTGATCCTACTACTACCAAGCTTGCCTTCAATCTCTGAAGAGACATGGTCGTCTTTTTTGTCAAGACATCCGTCACTCTCCAGTGACTTGTGTGTTTTCCTCATCTTGACAGGCATCTTCAAATTAGGATCACCCTCATCTTCGCTCTCGGTATTACCAAGCCTGCCATTATTCTCTGAAGAGACACCCTCATCACCACTCCTACTGTTACCAAGCCGGTCTTTGTTCTCTGAAGAGGCATGCCCGTCCTTTTGACACCCAGACTTGAGTGTTTTCGTTATCCAGCGAGTCATTTTCATTTTAGAATGACCCTCATCATTGATCCTACTACTACCAAGCTTGCCTTCAATCTCAAAAGAGACATGCTCGTCTTTTTTGTCAAGACATCCGTCACTCTCTAGTGACTTGTGTGCTTTCCTCATCTTGGCAGGCATCTTCAAATTAGGATCACCCTCATCTTCGCTCCTGGTATTACCAAGCCTGCCATTATTCTCTGAAGAGACATGATCGTCCCTGTTGTCAAGACTCCTATTTTTCTTTCTGGACACGCTTCCTTTCTTCCTCTTGGAAAGCTTTTTCAAATTTAAATCACCCCCATTGCTCCTACTATCACCAAGCCTGCCTTCATTCTCTAAAGAGACATGCTTGTCCTCTTTGTCAAGATCTCCATCATTCTGTCCAGACAAGTGTGCTTTCATTATCTTGCAAGGCATTTTCAAATTACAATCAGCCACGTCATTGCTCCGATTATAACCAAGTTTGCCTTCGTTCTCCAAAGAGGAATGCTCGTCCTTTTTATCAAGACTTCCATCACTCTCCATTGACGTGTGCAAGTTTTTCATCTTGGAAGGCATTTTCAAATTAGTATCACTTTCATCATCACTCATATTGCCAAGCCTGCCATCGTTCTCTGAAGACACATGCTCATCCTTGTTGTCACGACTTTCATCCTTCTTGGAAAGTGTCTTCATATTCGAATAACCCTCATTGCTCATACTGCTAACAAGCCTGCCTTCATTCTCTAAACAGGGAGGCTCTTCCTTTTTGTCGAGGCCTCCATCGTTCTCTCCAGACTTGTTTGTTTTCTTCATTTTGCTAGGCATTTTCAAACTACAATCATCCTCATCATTGCTCCTATTTTTACCAATCTTGCCTTCCTTCTCCAAAGAGACATGCTCGTCCTTTTTGTCAAGATTTCCATCGCTCTCTCTTGACTTGTATGCTTTCTTCGTCTTCGAAGGCCTTTCCAAAGTAGAATCACCCTCATCATTGCTCCTACTATTACCAAACTTGTCATCATTCTCTAAAGAGACAAGCTTGTCTTTTTTTTTATTTTTCTTTCTAGACTTCCTTTGTTTCTTCTTCTTGGAAAGCGTCTTCAAATTAGGATCAACTTCATCATCACTAAGCCCGCCTTCGTTGTCTGTAGAAACATTCTCATCCTTTCTGTCAAGATCTCCACCACTGTTTCTTGACTCATGTGTTTCCATCATCTTGGAAGCCGTTGCCAAATTACAACCGGCCTCATTGTTGCTCCTAATATAACCATGCTTGCCTTCGTTCCCTGATGAAACGTGCTTGTCCTCGCTGTTGAGACTCACGTTACTCTTTCCAGATTTGCGCCTTCTCTTCCTCTTGGAAGGTTTTTTCAAAGTAGAAACCCCCAACAGCTTTAATTGTTCATTTGGCATTTGAACGGAATAGCAGACAAACTGGCCGATGATCATCAATTTGATAGACGAAGCTTCTGACCGTTCATAAAAGATACACGAAATATTGCCGGAGAAGGCTGTGTGGACGCAACAAAAAAATCCTAAATTATGGATCTCTGGAGCAGGTAGTGACAGTATCACATCAAAAGCATCCTCGTTTTGCAACCTTAGAATATTATCCATCTTCAGTTGCTGATGAACAAGACCTCCTCCACTGCTTTTTGACTCTTGGGTTTCCTTCATCTTGGAAGGGGTTGCCAAATTACGATTGGACTCATTGGCACTCCTAATATTACCGTGCTTGCCTTCGTTCCCTGACGAAGCATGCTTCTCCTCGCTGCCAAGACTTGCATTAATCTTTTTAGATTTACGCCTTCTCTTCCTCTTGGAAGATTTTTTCAAATTAGAATTCTCCAACAGCTTCGGTTGTTCATTTGGCACTTGAACAGAAAAGCGGACAAACCAGCCGATGATCAAAAAGATCATCAATATGATAGATGAAACTTCTGAACGTTCAAAAAAGATATGTGAAATATCGCCAGAGAAGCCTGTATGGTCAACGCAACAGACAACTCCTGAATTATGGATCTCTGAAACAGGCAATGACAATATCATATCAAAAGCATCCTCGTTTTGCAATCTTAACCTACTATCCATCTTCAATCGCTGATGAACAAGACCACCACTGTTTTTTGACTCGTGTGTTTCCTTCATCTTGGAAGGGGTTGCCAAATTACGATTGGACTCGTTGGCACCCCTAATATTACCGAGCTTGCCTTCGTTCCCTGACGAAGCATGCTTGTCCTTGCTGCCAAGACTTGCGTAACTCTTTTTAGATTTACGCCTTCTCTTCTTCTTGGAAGGTTTTTTCAAATTAGAATCCCCCAACAGCTTTGGTTGTTCATTCGGCACTTGAACAGAAAAGCAGACAAACCAGCCGATGATCAAAAAGATCATCAATATGATAGATGAAGCTTCTGACTGCTCAAAAAAGATATCTGAAATATCGCCAGAGAAGTCTGTACGGTAAACCCAACAGACAACACCTAAATTATGGATCTCTGCAGCAGGCAGTGACAGTATCACATCAAAAGCATCCTCGTTTTGCAACCTCTTCAGTTGCTGATGAACAAGACGTCCACAACTGTTTCTTGACGCATGTGTTTCTTTCATCTGGAAAGGCTTTGCCAAATTATGATCAGCCTCATTGTCGCTCCTAATATTACCATGCTTGCCTTTGTTCCCTGATGAAGCATGCTTCTCCTTGCTGTCAAGACTTCCATTACCCTTTCTAGATTTACGCCTTCTCTTTCTCTTTGAAGGTTTTTCCAAATTAGAATCTCCCAACAGCTTCAGTTGTTCATTTGGGACCTGAACGGAATAGCAGACAAACCAGCCAATGATCAAGAGGATCATCAATATGATAGATGAAGCTTCTGACAGCTCAAAAAAGATATACGAAGTATCGCCTGAGAAGGCTGTATGGTCCAACCAACAGACAACTCCTGAATTATGGATCTCTGGAGCAGGCAGTGACAGTATCACATCAAAAGCATCCTCGTTTTGCAACCTTAACATAATATTCATCTTCAGTTGCTGATGAAGCGTGAGATCTGAAGAAGGAAGTCTCACATTGTTGGGCTCAAAACTCAAGGATTGACCAATCTCAGACTGAGAAGGTCTAGAAAATGAATTGTACATCTGACAAGTTCGAACATGAACGACAATAGGTGGACAAGAGAAAGAGAGTCGCATTGTAAAGGGGTCCCCACATTCCCAACCAAGTCGATATCTTGAATCAACAGGAGATACATTACTAGGATGACCGTTGTCTTCTTTACCAAGTAAGGAAGCCTCTATCTCAGCTGGGGACAAGCTCCGCGAAACCTTATCGGAGTTTGGAGCGAATGATTGTAATGAGTAGTCTGTCCGTATGATCTTCAGATGTGGCTGCTCATTTTTAAAGTTCAACTTTGCCAAATCCTTCACATCATTAACGAATAAAACATTGTCTCGACTCTCTTCCATGTCATTTCGAGAGGTAGATGGAAAATCTGATGAACCATAAACACGTACTAGTCTTCCAGTCAGAGTATCAATTTCAAACACAGTGCTTCTCTGAGATCCAAGTCTAACCGATCCATCCTCCGACATCAGTGGTGTGCTTTCGATTATATCATCGACATTAGCTCCTAATTTCTGCGTTCGTGGGAGTCAGATTAACAAGGCGTATAAACCGGGGCAATAAGCAAAGCATTTAACAGTTTTTACAAGTAACAAGAGACCAGAGACGTAAGTAACAGCCGCAGTAACCAGGAGGTATTCCTAATTCTTGAAGGCAGACAGAGACGTGACATTAAATACATCCATCCACAGGTCCAAAACTGAGGAATGCAGTAACTGATTTGCCACACTGTACCAACAGATTAATGTCCGAAAAGTCCATCATCCATATTTTAATCACATGAATCACATGTTCAAGACAAAAACTAAGATTTTTCCTGGCATCAACATGGTCTATTCGACATGCGTTTCAGAAATGCAAACATCAAAACTAAACCCAATCGTGAGCATGTCTTGCTTTCTCAAGAAAAGATTAACTGCAGAATCAAAATTTTCGAACATATAGTCATCCCTTTTCCTGAGAAAACCGTGTGACAATTCACATTCGTATCTGAAATCAGAATCAAAAAGTTAGCCATCAGCCCAGGTAATGTACTGAAATTAGGTGACATCCTTCTTCGGTTTCCACATTTTCGGTCTATGGATTGCTCCAACACTATTTGTAAACAACCGACCTAATTCACGTGGACCAAGCCCGCAAAAAGATCAATGAAGCCACGGCCCTAGCACTAGCAGACATACCGCATGAACACAGATAATTTATCTGTTCAAGAGCAGCTTAGTGGTCTTTCAGTCATACCATTTTGCCCAAAGTGCTCATGGTGTTCTTAGAACTCCCAATCATCATCACCACAGTCTATGAAGAAGCCACCGGTAGGTCCACAAGGATTTTGCTTGGCCTGAAGTGAAGAATAAATAGGAGGTCCAGATGCGAATGACTAGATGACCCTCCTGAGATCACTGCCCACCAAATATCCAGTCCCATCTAAGGCAGCCACCAGCGCAGAATCCTCATTCCTGTCCCAAAGACCCTGCGAAAGAAAGAGAGAGAATCGTAAATAGTCAATCTCAGTCATGTCTGAGGTCTAGCAAGATGGAAAAGTGACTCACGTCACTCGCTATTGACTTGTGCGTTTTCTTTATCAAGCAAGGCATTTGCAATTTAGAACGACCCTTACCATTGATCCTACTACTACCAAGCTTGCCTTTGATCTCTAAAGAGACGATGCTTGTCCTTTTTGTCAAGAATTCCATCCCTCGATATTGACTCGTGTGCTTTCTTTCATCTCGGAAGGCATCTTCAAATTACGATCACCCTCGTCGTAGCTCCCACGATTACCAAGCCTCCATCCTCCGAACAGACGTGCTCCTCCGTTCTGTCAAGACTTACCGTCGCTCTTTCCGGACTCGCATCTTTTCTCCCACTAGGTAAGTGTTTTCAAATTAGAATCACCCTCATCACCACTCCTCCTGCTACCACGCCTTCCATCGTTCTTTGGTGAGACATCCTTGTCCTTGCCATGACTTTCATCTTCAATGATCGCTTAAAATATAAAGGCAAAAAGTGAGTGTGGGACTGTGGGAGTAAAGCCTCTCCCTTTACTTCTTTGCTAAGCAAAACTGGAAGGAATCGTTTTATCTTAATCTCACTAACTCTTTAGGAGTTATTCCCACTTTATCACTAATCACAAGAAATCGGAAGACATGGTACTCACAGTTGAAGAGACTTGGAGAATCCCAACGGGCAAGCGCATGAACACTCTCTCCCATCTGCTCCGAAACCTACGCCGGCGATGCTCAGCCCAAAGGACAGCCGGCGAGGATCAAACAATGTCGTCCGTAACACTCCCATCAGCTCCAAACTACAAGACTGTCTGATGAAACCAGGAGCGAGACTGAGGAGGAGCCCAAAAGGCTTAGCAGCAGCCAAAGGAAGGAACATTCCAACCTTCCTGCGATGGCTGCACTCTAACACGCTTATCACTCTTTCATCATCATTACGTGTTAGGCTTAGAACGACGAGGAATCATGATAGTGAAAGCGCTTTCCGAGAAATATCGGAGATTATCGGATGGACCCATTTCGCAAAAACTGCGTTCATAAAATCATGTTTCTTGATATTCAACTAGTTTGATTTATCATACAAGTTTGACAATACTCTCTCGCGAAGAGAAGTGTGGAATCCTCGTCCAAGAAGACCAAGACTTCTTTTTTATATTTTGGTCAAAGAAGAAGACCAAGACTTACATGGGCCAAAACAAAGAAAAGGAAAGGAAATGATAGAGGTTTTGGTCGACTTATAAGTTGACTCTAACTGTACAAATGGCTTGAGTGAAATTGGGATAAAGGCATAAAAAGTCCTTGAACTTTGGCCAATATATAATTTGATCCTTGAACTTTTAATTTACTCAATGTAATTTCTGAACTTTAGCTTAATGTTCAATGTGATCACTGAACTTTTAATTTGTTCAATATAGCTCCTGGACTTTTGGTACATATTTAATTTAGTTCATGAACTATATAAAAATATTCAATGTAGTCCCTGAATTTAAATTAATGAAAGGACTACATTAAACATCTTCATATAATTCATGGACTAAATTGAATATGAATCAAAAGTCTAGGACCACATTAAACAAATTAAAAATTCAGGGACCATATTGGACATTAGGCTAAAGTTCAGATATTATAGTGAACAAATTACAAGTTCAAAGATCAAATTGCACATTGAGCTAAAGTTCAGGGATTGTTTGTGTCATTTTTCCAATAAAATTCTCGAACTTCGATGAAGTTTCTTTTTTAATTTAGAGTGGGATACATAAAATAACCTCAGCACAAGCATCATAATATTCTGTTGATGGTAAATAAAATACCTAATATTTCATGTTTGTCCAAACTTTTTGAAGTATTTGATAACCAGTTAGTTTGACATGGTAATGGAGTAATATGAGCGTTATATTCAATTAATCCTAGGACTCCAGTTCCATTTTTTTTTTTTTTTGGTCTGTGACTTTCTGGTCTCCGAGTATCCTCAACTAAATCCGGAATCAAGCACTGTCGGACCCACAGGGGGTGGCTCTCCCAACGCCGTTTGGTCCATACACGACTCGAACTCGAGACCCTGCTTAAGGGAACCCAGGCTCCTTACCACCTGGGCCAACGAACGTTGGTAAACTAGTTGAGTATCAACTCTTGTGAGACCTCAGTTGTACTAATGGTTGTTGACACCTGAAATTCCTCAACTAGTATCCCAACGAGATTCGGTTAATTATGAAAGATTGCAAAGACTCGGGTCAATTAAGTTTGACTAGGGTTGACCTAGCACATTAGGCACGGCCGAACAGAGCTCAGCCCAATTCCACCAAAAACTGCGCCTTTCTCTCTACAGATAAAATTCTCACGCCACATGACACTTCCTCAATGGCCCAAATCCTCACAATTGCAAGCTTGACACTTGCTACCACCACACTAAACCCTACAAAAATAGAAGTATGGTCGTCGGCTAGAAAATGACAAAAAGAGAAAGGTGGCTCTTTTGGATTAAAAAAAAAGGAAAATGACACAAATAGTCTTGAAATTTGGATAAACGTATAATGTGATCCCAGAATTTTAATTCAATGTGCAATATAGTCATGAACTTTTAATTTATGCAATGTAGTCTTTGAACTTTCGGTACATGTTCAATTTAGTCCCTGAATTATATGAAACTGTTCAATATAATACTTCCATTAATTTAAGATTAGAAATTACATTGAAAATTTTCATATAGTTCAGGGACTATATTGATTATGTACCAAAGTCCAAGGACCACATTGCACAAATCAAAAGTTCAAGGACCACGTTAAATATTTGGCTAAAGTTTAGGGACCACAAATTAAAAATTTAGGGACCACGTAGCATATTACGCCGTAGTTCAAGAACCGTTTGTATCGTTCTCCTTTAAAAAATAAAAAAGGGAAAAGGGAGGGATTACAACATCCCATCTTGATTTACAAGCTCGCTCCTTTAATTTTGAGGGGGACAGAGTGAACAAAAGTGGGGTAGAGACGTAACAGAGGAAAAAACGCCATTTTTCTAACACAGCACCTCAGACCTAAACCCACAGATTCTCCTCTTTTCCGACCGTCGGCCACCGTGCCCACACCATCATCTCGCCACCATAGCTACGTTTTCGAGTTCACCATTTTTCTCATCCATCACGGTCTCTACCAAACCAGAGAGTGTCTCCTCTAAGGTTTGGTTCTCTGGTCGTTCCCAGTTTTTGTGACCAAGAACATCAAACCGCTCGAAATCTTCGATTCCCACAACTCCTGAAGCCATTCGTTGCCGTTCGTCACCGTTAAGGCGCCGCCAGCTTCATCTCTGGAAGGAGAACCAGAAGTGCCCTGTCTTGCTCCGTTTCGTAGCCGAGAACCTTGAAGCCGCCAAATCTCTTTCGAAATCCCTACTCCGACCCTGATCTCGATTGTCAACAAGTTTTAGAGCCGGCTCGCGTTTTCGCTGTTGTGTCACGATTCGAAGTTCTTTTCGTCAAGGTACGAACCCATCTCGGTTTGGCGAACATATGTGCAAAAGCGTCAGAACCCAGTCCCTGCTTGAACCAAAAACGAGACCAAACCTGATGTTAAACCAAATCTTGGGCTGGATGTCGATTTTCCGGTTTGTTTCCAATGCACGAACACCACCAGGAAGTCGCTCGTTACGTGTTTGATGAAATGCCCGAGTCAATCCAGTACGACCACATTACTGATTTCTGTCCGTTTTAGGATGTGCATTGGCCGGATATTAGTACGACTGAAAAAAGCTTTGCTGTTTATTGAGTGTTACCGTTATTATAAGACCGGGACTGAGCATACGTTTGTTCGTTTTTATCCCCTGTTTTGCAAGTCTTCCCGCGGTTTGTGCTCGCCGCCGGTGAGGAAATGTCGGTTTGGAAGAGGCTTAGTTAATAGCCATTTGTGGCTTGCCCTTATTCGGACCGGGCTCAAGGGCCCGGCCCGAGTCCTCTTTTGTTCGGAATTAAAAATTATCAAAATATATATTTTTTTAATTCCAAAAAAATCCAAAAAAAAAAATGGCTTAGAGGCAAGCTTTGTTTTATTTTAGTATTGATTTAACTTAGTTTCATTTTAGCTAGTATATATAGTTGGACTTTTTTAGCAAATGCCTTTTCACGTAGTTTAGTCTTTCTTGGGAGCTCGATCCTTTGGACAAGAAATTGAACTCGATTCGAATTTAGCTCATGGGGAGTCATGTCCCAGGCTTACAACATAGCCATGTATGTTTTTTGCCCAATGAGTATCGGGTTTTCACTTCCGTACATTTACTTTGAGGATTAAAATACTCGTGTGTTTAATTCAGAAACTTTCAATAGATTGGTTGTTATTTCCCTTTCTAGATCAGTTAGGACAACCCTTAACAACATAATAAACCCAAAAATAAATGTTTGCATGAACACGTAGCGACTCAAAAACCTTCAGGGTAATAATTCGTAAAAATACACTTGATCACTTTGATGAACAATCCCATCGAGTTATAGATACCGAAAGGGCGCTAATTAGATGATTAGCGTAATCAAGTCTCCGAACCAAGTTAGTCTCTGATTACGTAGAAACGAGACAAAATTCTCGTATTTCATTTGGTTTCTAGCCGATCCCAAAAAGGCTAGTAGTGACTCCTAGAATCCCATAGGTTAAATTGAATTTTAAGATGAAATCCAACATCGCGCCAAGTATGGGCTTGGGAGAACTTGCGCCTAATTGAGGGCCGTTGGCCCACCTTAGGCAATATCCCTAAACTCATCCTCTTCCCGTTTCCCGTTTCCCCCCGAGAGGAAACCTTACAAGAGGGTTGCTGACATACACTAACAACAGTTTGTTGTCCTCCATCTTTATCTTTGAGAAGACATGTTTCTGAACCAGCATTTGAGTCGATGTTAGGCGCCTTTGAGGCCTCCTTGGTTGCTTGAAGCGCTTTATACTTCATGGACAATGTTCGGATCAATTGGTAAGTATGGGCGCGCATAATAACTATTATGCTTCTTTATTTTTCTATTTTCCTGTTCCTAGGAATAGGTTTAAAAAAGAAATCCGTTTGGTAACGCAATTTCATTTTTCAATTTCTGAAACAAATTTTGATTTCAGAAATAAGTTTGAAATAGAAATGAGAAGTAAAATTTTTCTATTTTTCTATTTATAGAACAAAACTGAGAAATAAAAAGTCTTCTCGTCGCTCGTCATCGCTACTAGCCAGCTGCCCACCCGCCGCTCGCTGTCGCCATCTGCCGGCCGCCTCCCATCGCCGCCTCCTGCTGCCATCCTTTGCCAGCCGTCATCTGTCACCAGCCAACTCCCGTTGCCTCCCGCCGCTGCCCGCCGTCCTCTGCCGATTGCCTCCCGCCGTCCACTTGTTAGCCACCGGCCTCCCAAAAAGGAGAAATTTTGTGTAGTTATCAAATGCGTATTTTTGCTCAAAAACTCGTCCAAGGAATAAAAATAGTTATTTCTGGCCAAAACTTGATTTCTGGAACAGAATGATTATCATTCACGCTTTATAAGTCCAGATGTAGAAACCACCAAGCTGCTTTGACACCAGAAAGAAAGTACACTCGAGTCAGATAGTCACACACTGGAGCATTATAAGACTCAATGCAGCTAAAACCAGAAACAAGAACTGGAGGCATTATTTGATCACGCCGAAGACGGCAAACAATGAAAGCATGTATTTACTACACATCCCTGATTTGCTTTTACTGAGAAGCCAATCTTTTCATTTGATAAATGATTTATACATACGAGGAAGGGAACACACCGCCATCGAGAAATGATGCCTATGAGAGTCCAGCAGAGCGGCAAGCGTTCCAGTTGCCAAACGGGCTACCGCCCTCATCACAGACCGCCGGGATTGTAATGGGGGTAGATTTCCCAAGTTTCCTAATGGCAATTAGCTAAGTAAACAATA